TAGGATCATTTAGGTATATTATTATAATAATTTATGACTATGGCATTTAAACTTTTGATTACTATTAAGCAAATAAAACAAAAGAAAAGTTAAACAACTAACCTCATCCTTTGCCTAAGAGGCCTCCAATATCAGAATGAAGCACATCAAGTCTAACGTGTATTCTAATGTGTAGTACCAAGGGGGACGAGGCAGGGGGAAGACTGACCCTAGGGAACTGTTTCCTAAATGACTACATTTTCCTTTGGTCAGAAATTGCTGCTATTAAACAACAAGACTAGATCTAGAAAGAATGATGATGTAGGTGAAATATATTTCCCGAAACATCTTTAATCGTTCATCATTTCTCAAAACACTTTTCCTGGCTTCTTATCAGTAGAATGCTGTCCCTAGTACCTTTATTTAGTCACTTCAGAACTGCATCATTCCCTCTTTTCTTAGCTTACAATGAAAATCTTAAAAATTAATCCAAGTCCTGGAAGATCAAAAAGCCCACAGGCAGTCTCTTCTCACCTGAATAAGAGGGAATAATTGAGGGAAGAATACAATATGAGATTAAAGCAGGGCGGCACAATTAACCTGGAAAAGATAGGAGTTGTTTTTTCTAGGACAGAAAGAAAGGAAGATATTGGGTTTATTTTATTATTATTTTTATTTTTTTTATTTATTTTTTAGCTGAGCCATCCTGCTACCTGTTGGCAGCTCAGCGGCTGCTCAGCTCGGGCTGGACTCAAACTGCTGTTGCTCAGAGCTCAAACTCTTGAGCGAGCTCTTAACCAACTGAGCCACTCGGCCGGCCCAAAGGTTTATTTTATTTTAGAATGGAGAAGGATTAGGGAACATGTACCCATATTTGTCATCATGATTATAATTGTGATCATGAAATGGATATACTCGTATGAGCAAGATTAAATTATGTGCACAAATTGGAAAAGCAATGTTACATTTGTTGGAAATATATGAACCTGTAATACTGTAGGGTGCCTTCACAATGAAAAGTACTTCTTTGTCATAAAATATGAAAAATAATGTGTGAGGTCAGCCAGAATTATTTAATATTACGTTAGGATAGCTGTCTTGGATTTACTTTCAAAGTGCATAAAAATGGGATATCTTCCTGAGGCTTGTTAAAATCTGTAATGTAAAGAAAGAGTTGAGAAATACTGGGAAGTGGGGATAAGAATGAACTAACTACTTAGGAGGAATGGGTACCTGTTTATGCAGTGTGATTTCAAAGGCATTGGGAAACTGATTGTGCTGAAATATTTTTTAAATTAGTGTCAGGTGAACAAAGCAACACAGTGATTAGACATTTATATACCTCATAAAATTATAACCCCAATAAGTCTATTATTTATTTGACACTGTACATAATTATTACAATATTATTGACTATATTCCCTATGCTGTACTTTATATCCCCATGACTAATTTTTAAAATTATAGTTGACATTCAATACTATTTTATATCAGTTTCAGGTGTACAGCACAGTGGTCAGGCATCCATACAACTTATGAGGTGATCCGCTCATCAAGTTCAGCACCCATTCGACAGCATGCACAGTTTTACAACATTTTTTACTATATTCCCCTCACTACACTTCATATACCAGTGACTATTTTGTAACTACCAATTTGTGCTTCCTAATCCCTTCACCTTTCTCACCCATCTCCCAATTCTGCCTCCCATCCAGCAACCACAAGTTTGTTCTCTGTGTCTGAGTCCATTTCTGATTTGTTTGTTCATTTATTTTGTTCTTTACATTCCACATATAAGTGAAATCGTATGGCATTTGTTTTTCTCAGTCTGACTTATTTCACTTCATATAATATCCTCTAGGTCCATCCATGTTGTTGCTAATGGTAAGATTTCATTCTTCTTCATGGCCGGGTAATACTGCATTGTATAAATGTACCACAATTTCTTTATCTAATCATCTATTGATGGGCATTTTGGTTGTTTCCATATCTTGGATATTGTGAATAAAACCACAGTAAACATAGGAGTGCATGTATTTTTTCAAATTCGTGTTTTGGACTTCTTTGGATAAATACCCAGGAGTGGAATAGCTGGGTTGTACGGTAGTTCTATTTTTAACTTTTTGAGGAACCTCCATACCGTTTCCATAGTGGCTGCACCAATTTGCAATCCCACCAGCAGTGCGCAAGGGTTCTATTTTCTCCACATTCTCGCCAGCACTTGCTGTCTGTTGATTTATTGATGATAGCCATTCTTACCAGAGTGAGGTGGTATCTCATTGTGGTTTTTATTTGCATTTCTCTGATGATTAGTGACACTGAGCATTTTTTCATGTCTATTGGCCCATCTGTATGTCCTTTTGGAGAAATGTCTATTCAGGCCCACTGCCCATTTTTAAATTGGATTGTTTGGGGGTTTTTGGTGTTGAGTTGTATGAGTTTTTTAAAATAAATTTTGAATATTCACCCAATGTGAGATGTATTATTGACAAATATCCTCTCCCATTCAGTAGGATGTCTTTTTGTTTTGTCGATGGCTTCCTTTACTATGTGAAAACTTTTTAGTTTGATGTAGTCCCATTTGTTCATTTTTTCTTTTGTTTCCCTTGCCCGAGGAGATGGGTCAGTAAAGATATTACTAAGGGTAATGTCTGAGAATTTACTTCCTATATTTTCTTCTAGGAGTTTTATGATTTCAGGTCTTACATTTAAGTCTTTAATCCATTTTGAGTTTATTCTAGTGTATAGTGTAACAAGGTGGTCCAGTTTCATTTTTTTTTTGCATGTATCTGTCCAGTTTTCCCAGCACCATTTATTGAATAGATTGTCTTTATGTGATGAAATAATTTTGATACTTACCCACTTCTCATTGTGATGACTCCAATTTAATTTTCTACTCCTTACGTCTCCAGTACATCCTGTCACTCTTTGTCTCTCTCTCCTCTTTCTGTGGTGTGGAGAAGGCAAGTGTTTTGAAATTATTTTGAGCATGTGTTCTATGCCAACAAGCCATTGTCATTTAGCATCAATTCTCCCCTAACTTTAAAGTATATACGAATGACTTGGGTATCTTGTTAACGATTCTGATTCTCTTATGGGGTAGGCCCTAAGATTCTGCATTCCTAACAAGCTCCCACAAATGTAGATGCTGCTAGTCTGTGGACTATACTTTGAGTTGCAAGGATTTAGGAAGCAATTTGAGTGAGGTATTTCTAAAAGACGACTAATAAATTTCATGACATTATTTTAAACACTGATTTTTAAAATGAGCAATTTCTGATAATGTGCTTGAATATTGCGGATCATTAAATGATACAAAGCAATACATTAATCCAGAGTATAGTGATAGTAAAAGGGATCATAATTTATTTAATAAAAAAGTAGGAAATCCAAGGAGACAAAGATGCACATCTTCACAACCACAACTTAATGATTGTTTAAGGGCATTTGCTTTGCAAAAGGCCTGCTGTTGATACAAATTGGTTCAGTGATTTTCCACCCATTGCAAAATTACCAGATGTATCTGTCATATTAGAATGTGAAAAAGGAAAGCTAGGAAAAAGTAACCAAATAGATAATTATGGCTTTGTTCTGAAATAGTAATCTCATAATGAAGTACACTTAGCATAAATTGCTGAAATTATCTAATTTATAACCAAATCTAGTCTATCAGACATGATCCAACAATTTTGTTTTATTTGCGCAATCCCCTTTTGTTTAAAAACCGAAAAAAATCTAGCAATAAATTTTTCCCTTATTTTTTATAAGTAACTATAATTTTAATGTTAAATAAAGTATCATAAACTAACTTATAGCTGTTTTTGTGTTGTTTTCTCCCTATTTATATATGGTTAAAATTCGTATTTTATTTCATTATTGTAAACAGATACACACACACATTCGTTTGCTTCAACTTAGCTGTTTACCTTTGGTCAGGTTTAAGTTTAGTTTGATTACACTATTTTTATTATAATGGTCTTTTCTGTTAAGGTCATACTAATTCATGAAAGCTTGATACATTTTTATCTGTACACTTGTATCTCACTGTTTACTGAAAAAACACTCTCAAAGTTAGAGGTATTTTTTTATTTCATTATCAAATGTAGGCAACTCTATTTGTCTGGTTAACTGATTTAGTCACAGACACACCTACATGAAATGTTTTGAAAATGATACTGTGATGTTAAATAAAAACTTCAAAATCAGAGCCCCTCCATTGATACATAACAAATGAAATACATTTGTGTTCTATTTTGATAATAATCTCTACCAGAAGCCAAACATAATCATTAGCATGATAGCCTAGTGTTTAGCTTCTAATAGAAAAATGACATGGTCTTTAAAGCCTCTATATCAAATCAACTTTAAATAAAACCTATATGGTTTTGTTCTTGTTAAGTCAGATTGCCTGACTAGAATTCTGATTTTATTTGGTTGCTATTTTATATAGAGTAAGTTATTTAACTTTTGTGCTGAGGTTTCACATTTTAAAATTGGAGATAGGATTAAGTAAACTAATTCATGTAAAACACAGTTCAGTGGCTCAGTAAGTGTTCCTAGTATGATTAGAAGTTAGCAAGAAGTGTTTAAGCTCAGAAACTATGAGTAATTTTTATTCTCTTATTTACTTTTATTGTCTTATATCTTTAGGTACTAATTTTTCATATGGAATTTCAAGAGTACTACCTCTTAAGACATGCAGTCGACCAATCAGAATTGGTTTGTCAAGAAAAGCTAAGCTGAAACAACTTCATCCCTATCTAAAATAAATATGTTATGAGAAGTTAAAAGAAGATATTGGACCTTAATGTTTCAAAACATGCATATCTATTAATCTTTTGTTTCTTTCTTTGGATAAATGCTTTCTTCCAGCTTGGAAGTTTTGAGCTTTCTGTGTTAAAAAGTATTGAGAAGGTTGTGTGTGTGTATTATCTAATTACAGTTAAAAATTACATAATATGTTATTGATGTTTTCATGTCATATTAACAGTATGCACATTAAAGGTTTTTGTGATGTTAAAAACCTTGTCAATTTAGTTTTCATTATATATATATATATATATATATATATATATATATATAATGCTTTTGTGGAGAAGATTGATAGCTTTTATAGGTTTCTCAAAAGGATCCATAACTCTTAGGTAATGAATGACTATGCTAATCCACTTGCTCTATTTTTCAAGGGAAAAAAAATAGAGCTGCAGAGGAGAGGTAAGTTTTTCAAGATCACAGTTAGTATCAGGATTAGGATAGAGGCCCTCTCCTCTGTACCATTCTTTCCCACTTGTCTCTTTATTCACTTTCTAGTTTCTATCCCCACTCCAGGGTCTATTTTGGCCCCAGAGCAGAATTATGATCACATAGTTAATATTTACTATTACTTTATTTATTCTTAGAACAAATATATTTTAATACTCATACTATTGTGTTAATCTCAGTGATAAAATAGAGAAAACGATTGGAAGAGAAATGTGAGATATTTATATATAATTTAAAGGCAACCATCAGTAGAATAATACTTTTCAAAATGCTAGACAGAGAAATAAGAATAAAATGCACTACTTGGCAAAAACTAAGGAAAGAAGTAAGCATCAAGAAAACATAAAAAACAGAAAGCATATAATAAAAGGAAGACTGAATATATCAATTAAGAAAATAAATGTGATTGGATCAAATTTTCTTATTACAAGCCAAGGTTCTCAGACACACTAAAAACCATCTCAAATTCAGCTCTATCCATGAATTTCCATCCCCTACCATGTACTTTGTAGCTTCAACACCCTGTCCTAATTTCATTCCGCCTCCCCCCACCAAACTCATCACTTTTTTCACACACTATATTATTTACACCTTGCAAGAAAGAATGCAAGTCTTTGAATGCAAGATTCATGCCCCACCTCCCACTGTATCTCAAGGGCCCAGAATAGTTCCGGCCCCTTGTGTACCCATAAAATATTATTTGAGTAAATAGATGAATGATTTTCTACATCTGCTTGTAATTGCTGCTTTTTTGAATTCTTAATATCTTTATGACATTGGGCAAGTCCACATATCTAAAGGGGATACTAATATCTCATGGGATTACTGTGAGGATTAAATGAGATATTAATAATATATGTTATATATTTATAATATCTGATACATAGTAACTAACAACAAATAACAATTCACTGATATATAGTATCTACTCAATAATTTATAAGTTTTTAGTATGTTTTTACTTTTTCTTGAATTTTTTTCTCCCGGAACCTGAATTCAGTTATTTTCAGGAATGTACTTATTCCTCTGTGTCTTCTGAAGATATGCCTTTTACTTTTTTTTTTCTGCAACAGTCCTTATCTTCCTTTTTCTTCTTTTTATGATTGTTATAAACCCCAAACTGTATTTTTTTTAATCTTTTATACAAGGCAAATCTCAACACAATCAAGGTTTGTCTTCATAAACCTTGGTGTTTTCCCTGTTCTATATTGCTGCGTGTAAATATTTAATTCTGTTCTCATATCTATTTCTTGAGGGCAAATTTATGTGCTTCCTGTCTTATTCCTAATCTTTTGGAAGCTTTTACAGATGCTGTCATCTTCTCTCTAACAAACGATATAAACTTAAAACGACTATTGGTTCTTTCATACACTTAACTTTGTGGTAAGTTTAAACTCCTAGCCCATACTGCACTGCTTACAGTGGTTTTCTATGCCACTACCCCATTACTGCTTTCATCTATAGAGCTTTCTTTGAAAATAATTTGGAAAAATTTTACACCTCTACCAATGTAAAACTTGTTCATGTTAGTGTCATTATTTGAGCACCCCATCCCCCAGTACCTCTTACCCTAACACACATATATACACACAAACAGACATGACCTCCCTGCCTCGTCCTATGAGTTCTTGTTTCTGGAATTAGAAAATTGGAGACCAGGGGGGAGGTAACATTGCAGCTCTTCTGGTTTTGTGTCTTCATAGCCAGGTTGGGAGAGGCTGCATTGGGGGATGTGGTAGGATACATTTGAAATCGAAACCCATCCTCCCTCCACCTTGTTCTTTTTATCTTTGTTCTCAAAATGTAAAAGTTGAAGGCTTTCAGATCAGAAGAAAAATATTCAAGGAATAAAAAGTCACTTCAAAAAATACTTGCTTTTGTTCAACCTGAGAATAAATCTCTGTGTTACTTCAGTTTAAAGTAACAGGCTTTTGGATGCGCATGAGAAGAGAAGCAGAGCCTGATATTAAATCAACTTGAAAAAGTTTTGTTGATAGTGCCTTAAGTATGCAAACCTTTGAGTTAATATTATCTGTTAAACCTTATTTAGTTAAGCAAAATGGAAATCAAAATATGTAGTGAGGTTGATCTTTAGCTCCATCTAAATTGTCTTATAAAAGAATATAATGTCAGCCATCATTTTGGGAAGTGCAGACATTACACATTTACATAGACATATAATAATTTCTGGTAGAGTTTATACTACTAAAAATTATATTTTGAGCTTAAGGGACTAGAATATGAAGATATCAGTAGGGTTCCAAATTGTATTTTACCCACTTTGTTGTAAAATATATCATTGTTTGAAACTATCCTTGCCAAATATTCTTATTTCATTTTTTTCTTTTAAAACACAGGCACATGCAATAACAGCAAATTCAGAAGAAATAGTCATTAAACTATTGCATCTATCCAGGCTATGGGCAAAAAAAATAAACTTAGGATTTAAAAAGTCTCTGTAACAATAATGTTTCTATAATTTTATAAATTTTGTAATTTTGGAGAACATGTAATCTTGCATTGGTATGGTACACTTGTTACAATTGTTGAAACTACTGACATATTATTAACTGAAGATCATAGATTATATTAGAATTAATTCTTTGAGTTTTGTCAAATGCATAATGTCATGTAGCCACTGTTACAGTATCATACAGAATAGTTTCAGTGCTCTAAAAATCCCTTATGCTTCACCTATTTACCCCTCTGCACCCCCTACCTCTACCCCAAAACATGACAACCACTGATCTTTTTATTGTATTTATTGTTTTGCCTTTTCCAGAATGTCATATAGTTGGAATCATATAGTATGTATTTGCAGATTGGCTTATTTCACTTAATAATATGCAATTTAGATTCCTATAATATTAACTTTTCCAGTGAAGGATCTTCTAGTAGAAGGCTTAAATCCCAAATGTGTTAGGCCTTCACCTTCCGTCATTGTATCTTCTTTTACAGAAAAAGACAATTCTAGTTCATTTCAAATTATGGCTGTGTCCACTTATCAACTTCTGAAAGTGTTTCTCATGGATTTTCCTAATGGGGATTCTTCAAAGAAACTTTACTGTCAACATTGGCAAAAGCTTCCTTTGAACATAGGCATTTCGAAGCATTTGAAGCCATGATAAAATGGCTCTAAAGGTGGTTTTATCTTGTATTTTGTAAGCAAGAGCTGCACTTACGAGCCAAAATGCACCACAGACTAAATGGTCAATATTAAAAAGGTGTTGTGAAAGCCTATGCTAGGCTTGGAAAATTTCCAGTAAGTGGAAATCAAAAGTACTCACCAATATAAGGGAATATTTTAATGTGTTACCCTTGTGATGCCTTGTATAATGAATGCCCTATGATGTTCTGCATGGACATCAGAATACTATTAGTAATTTTAGTTCTGTGACTACATGAATCATAATAACCATCAAGTATTTATTCAGACTCAGTAAATGTCTAGCAGTTTCCCAAGTGCTGGGAAATGCATATATATTTGTCAAATTTTGTTAACAAAAATTAAGAGGCAAAACCCATTAAACAACTAAAAGACAAGTTAGGAGATTGGAGATTTCATTCTGACTCTTTCTGCATGACCTTGAATTTGCCATGTAGCCTCATTTGGCTTTCAGATGATTCTTCATTTGGCTTATTGTAATCACTAAAATAACCTCTGCAAATGAAATATCTTGTGGGTTACTAATTGGAAATAAAAGAAGGAATACCAAGAGGGAAAGGCAATAGAAATAACAAAGAATATGAAAGTTTTTAGGTATTCTTGCAACTTTTATTTGTTATTAAAAGATGGTGAAAAAGAATAATAATAAATATTAGGGTAGTTATCATTGTTTATCTTTCATGTTTCTTAAATAGAAAGTATATGATGTGTTTCCTAACTCATTAATTTGTTCATTTAATTTTGCCCTCATCAAACATTTATTGAGGGCATATCATAAGTCTGGAACTGAACAAATGACCTCATTTCCATAAATTCTGTTATTTATAAAACTCACATCATATTACTCGTAATTTGTTTTGTAAAGCAGCCATCCTTTTAAGGGAACCTATCCATGAAATGGTTTGGGCCTGTCAAACTTACGAGGAACTGTTTCTTAAATTATTCCTATTTTATATCAATAATAGGGATGAACCCAAAAAACGGTTGCTTGGATTTTCTGAAGCTTGTTATGAACACAATCATATGGATATGACCCATTTTTCACATCTGGAACAAAAAAATTTCAATAGCTTTAGTGTTTGTGATTTTGGCACTTGGGGAGTGGAGTAGGTATTATTTGATTGATTTTTATGGGGTTATCATTAGAGATAATATACATGAAATGTCTAGTGCAATTTCTGGTACATCACAAGCATGTAATTAATAGCTATTATTATTAATATTTTAAAAAGAGCTTTCTCATTCCTTATAGGTATAAATAAAAAGGTTACCAATAGGTTCTCCTGCTTTAAGGGATCCTACCTATGAAGCATGGGCTGAGAAATATTGACTTTTATGCTT